GTCTGGCCCCTTGTGACCCCTAATTACGTAATATATTATAAAAATATCATCATATATTGTTGCAAATCGTTAAGATAAATACTTTTGGTTCAGTAATGTATAACAAAATATTGATCGTTAGAGAGTTATAGATAAAAGACTTTTTGGCCCCTCTGAGCCCCTAATTTGAGGGGTCAGCCCCCTTCTTGGTATCAAATGAAAGGTCTTGTGATTTTGAAGATTTTTGTTCAGATTTATTTCAGAGATTTTTATTTGTTGTAGAGATATCTTAAATGAAAATATTTGGGGGCCACCCTACAAGTCCTTAATGGGGCCGTTTTACAAAACTTCAAAGTACGCATATTGTTTAGAACATTATTCTGACCATCTTTTGTTCAATATTGCTTATCAAAATATTCCCCCTTTTTGAGATATAAAGCGTCAAAGATGTGACATTCTGGCCCCTTGTGACCCCTAATTACGTAATATATTATTAAAATATCATCATATATTGTTTCAAATCGTTAAGATAAACACTTTTCCTTCAGTAATGTATAACAAAATATTGATCTTTAGAGAGTTATAGATAAAAGACTTTTGGCCCCTCTGAGCCCCTATTTGAGGCGTCAGCCCCATTTTCTTGATATCAAATGAAAGGTCTTGTGATTTTGAAGATTTTTTGTTCAACACTTATTCAGAGATTTCTATTCGTTGTGGAGATATGCTCAATGAAAATATTGAGGGGCCACTCCTACAAGTCCTTACTGGGACCGTTTTTCAAAAATTCAAAGTATGCATATTGTTTAGAACATTATTCTGACCATCTTTTGTTCAATATTGCTTATCAAAATATTCCCTTTTTTTGAGATATAAAGCGTCAAAGATGTGATATTCTGGCCCCTTGTGACCCCTTATTACGCAAAATATGCTTAAAAGTTTATAATATATTGTTCCAATTGGTTTAAAATTTAAAAATATCGAAATATCGAGCAGAAAAATGATAAAATTTTTTGGTCACATGGGGGATCGAACCCGTGTCGCCCGCGTGACAATCCAACGCGCTAACCATTTAGCCATTGAGATCGCCGCTTCGCGTTTTCAAATGCATATATCTCGAGATTGGCTTTTTCGATTTTCAAACAAATTACATATTTCGCTTCTGCAAAAGGGTCTCTATTCAATTCTAAAACAAAAATATTAAAAAAGAAAAATTGAAAAATTACGTTTCTTAAATTCGTTTCCGGTATCGACCGGAAGTAATGACGACGCACGAAAAGGCGATTCTGCAACGCTATAAGTCATGAACTATCATCTCCAATTAATCTTCAGTTCATATCTTAAGCAGTTTTCGCTACTAAATCAAGACAAAATTGCATTTTAAAATCAGGAAATTGTCCATGTCGCACGACCGGAAGTGACGGCGTCAACGAAAAAAATTTCCAATAAGGTTCAGATCAGTACCAATCAGATGTGAAAGTTTCATGAAAATCGGCCCAGTAGTTTACGAGAAATCGCGTGCACAAAATCGGTAAGAAAAATAATAATAATAATAATAATAATAATAATAATAATAGGGAAAAAGAAACCGAAGAATAACAAGAAGGTCTTCCGTTGGAGACGGAAGACCTTAATAATAATAATAATAGGGAAAAAGAAACCGAAGAATAACAAGAAGGTCTTCCGTTGGAGACGGAAGACCTTAATAAGAAACAGAGTAAACACAACGTCTCAACTTTGTTTGGGAAAACAGAATCAATCCAATGCACACCAAGCCGAGATCTGCAGCATCATGTGCTAATGCTATTCCATTCGACAAACCTTCGTCGATTCCGTCACCTTATCAGATGAAGTGGAATGGCTGAGGTGTGCCGAATGGCGTTTAATCTAAAAATATGATAATGGGTGACGCAACGTGATGTGATGTAGAAATTTACATGTTAACATGTATAGTACAAGAACAAATTTAAATTAATTCAAAACAAACGATGTTTTAAGAATACTTTTCTATCTAGCCTATTCCAAAAAGTATGTGCTGTGTGATTGTGGTGTTGAGGGGAGGGGGTAGGGAAATTTAAAAAGGTCCTATTATGAGCAAAACATTTATCAAAATCTAATTTACATCATTAATAGAATTCAAACTGGTATATAATGAATTAAGCATGTAAAATGAATATAAGAGGTTCTGAGTTATAGGTCACAGGGTCTGAGAATTTCATACTCAATTTGATGAATACATGTAAATTATAGATTTTGACTTTTTCCTTGGAAAGCCGCCCAATATGTAGGAGCGTGTATTTAGAGGCAAACACCTTAGTGTGGGTTTACTGTCTCATGACAGCATCTAGTTGTTTTTTGCATTGGATTTTGGGAGTATATACACTGTTTAACAGCCCTGTGTGCGAAAAGGGGTTTTGATTAGCTGTGTGATGATCGGTGTTGAATTCTGCTTTGAATTAAAGATATGCTCTTTGCAAGGTGATATCGATGTTTTAACTCATTGCCCTCTTTGAACACATGTATGTAGATTTGTGTAATCCTACACTTTTCCCCCCAAACAGCTGTTTAAAAACTTAAATCAATTTAAACCAGCTTTTTGCACCCAGTTTGAGAATTGGGTGATGGTCAAAATTAAAAGTCAGCTCAGTTTCATTTAAGTTGAAGCTACATTTACTGGAATGTACCTAAGCAAACAAAATAATTTAAAAAAAATTAAGCATATATTCTCTGCTTAAATCAATAGCAACGTGCTATTTAAAGAACCTGATTAGAATTTTTTCAAATGGATAAAATTTGAACCACACAAATACCTTTTGAAATTGATCATCAGTTGTTAGCTTAAATTTCGCGATCAAGCTTTTTCAATCCGTTGTTTATAGGCAAAGACACTTTAAGGATTGATTCGCGGCGAGAAATATTTACCAGACTCTCACGAACTTCGAAAAAAATTCTCCGCACGCGAATAAAAGATGGTTTACAGTAAACATAATGATTGTAAATTTGACGGCTCTTTGAGATATTAAAACTTTGCTAACTATTACCAACCAAAATGAGATACTAGTATTGCTCTTTGTATATAGTTTAATGAGGCCCGATCTACTTGATCTGCGCATATACCCTTTTAACACAGCTTCGACTCAGGCACGTCACAATACCCTTGACTGCCGTCACAGTTGAACACAATAACGTCACAATTAAAATGACGTCAAATTGCGCTAAAATGTTTCGCTGATCTTGCTTACCTGGTTGCTCTATATAACGTGCCAGTACCCATTATTGCCGAGTACCCATTATTGCCGAAAATGAATAAGATCAATTAAACTCGCCAATTTGTTGTTCTTTTTAATTATGACGTAAAATACATAAATTACGTCATATTCTCAAGTCACCTACCGTTGAGTAGAAAGGAATAAAGGCGAAGTATAAAGAAAACTTACCGTAGATAAGGTAAGCCTTTGAAAACACATCCATTAGCATTCGTGCGACAGCACATGTCATGAAAATTTAGACTAAATATCCCATTTGATGACAGGTCAAGCTCGGTTCAAGTTTAAATCCTTTACATATTTCCCTTCTTGAAATGATACGATATAAAAATATTAAAGTAATTGCTTCCAATTAAAGTAATTAACAGAATTATTCACAAAGAGTACGAAGCGTCTGCTTGCTGTGCGACGCCATATTTTCTTTTACCGGAAGTGGATCAAAGATCCACCCCATCTCGCACCTGTCTTCAAAAAAAGGGGCATTACTCTTACATTTCTTCGGCAGCAGTTGTTCCTCTTGTTCAACGCTGCTTTTTCTTTCTTTTTTTTTCTTTTTTTTATTTAACACAAACAAGTGGCAATTATCTTTTTATTTATAAAGATGAAAAGGAAAAATTACACAAACACACAGCTAATGAGTGCTTTAGAGGATATGAGAAAAAATAAAATTTCAGCAGAAAAGGCATCAAAGAAATACAACATTCCAGTGAGAACCCTAAGATACAGACAAAAACATGTAATGAAAGGATATCCCAACAGGTGTCTTACCACAAAACAGGAAGAAAGCTTGGTCAATTATATAAAATACTGTGCAGAAAGGGCATTTCCATTAACAAGAAAAATGATAAAGGTGAAATAAAAGATACAAACCAGATTAAAAATCAAAACAAATTCAGAATACAATAAAAATCCTATTTACATCATTGATGAAAATATACTGATTTTAAAAACATGAAAATGATGATAAAATAACAAATAAAAATATAATACAGTATGAAATTAAAATGTTTCCATGTTATATTTGTTTACTCCTGATAAATTTACTCCATAAATAAATAGGCATTTGTACGTGAAATCATTGACAAGGAAGGCAACTCCCTGATTAATGTCAATACTGTAAGTGGACCATCAGACAAATGGTTTAGAGGGTTTTTTGAAAAGACACCCTGCACATAGCGTTGAGGACCCCCGATTCCATTGACCGTGGTCGCTACGGAATGGCAAATTCCACAGTGATGAGGATTACTTCAACCGTTAGAAAAATGTCTGAAAAGACTTGGGTAAGCAAAAATAAAACTTGAGAACATTAAAACAAATGCAATTGATCAAGCTCCTCTAATTGCGAATTAAAGAAAAGAACACAGCAAATGATAATATCACTAATCTGGTGAAAAACTTTTCAATCAATGAGTTGCACAATATCAATGTTTGAGTTAAAAAATTCTAAATAAATGTTTCAATACTAAAATAAAGCATGCATTGTTAACATTAACTCCAATAAAAAAAAAAAGAAAATTATCATTATTCAATGACCACTGTTGGGAAAATGTCCCAAATATTTGTGTTAGTATTGAAACAACAACTAGTGAACAGTAATACAATTCAACTATTTAAGCTCCTTGCCACTGAATAAAGAAAAAGAAGGACAACAAATATTTAAAGTGACTTATTTGTGAAAAGGAAAATCTAAAACATAAGGCAATCAAGTTGAAGGAATTTCATTTTCCTCCAAGAAAAATTGGATTAAAAAACTCTCGAGTTTCTTTCATTTTTCAAGATTCATGTTTATAAAAGAATACAAGATATATGTATATATATTATGTTATGACACTTTCTTAGGCATAAAAGACAAGCCCTCTCAAATTTTCAATGTTGATGAGACAGGATTTGGAAAATGCGAAAAAAGAGAGAAGGTGGTTACTGAAAAAGTCCGAAAACACACTTATGCCCGAAGTGTTTCATCAACGAGCCATATCACTGCAACCATCTGTGTAGCTGCAAATGGACTAGTCCTGCCAACTTTCTTAATTTATGAAAATAGTTTCCCGAGTGGAAGTTACAGAGATGGTAAAATGTTCAACAAAATAATACTAAATGTATTACTTTAACAATGGTACATGTAATCCAATACATAAGGACTTAGCACTTGCACTATATTTTTACAATCACCTATAATACTTTTACCAATTGACACCTTTATTTTTATGGAACACATTTACACTCAAAATATTTACAAATCAACCTGTCTTTTACTCTTGAATGTTACATATAGAAAAAATACATGTACAAGATATTTATACTAAAAATATTTCACAAACTTACATATTTACATACATTTAAAACAAATTATACCAAATTCTCTATCTACTATACGTTTTCTTAAAATACAGAATTTTGTTTATAACATATTCATACTTTATCAGGTGCTCCTAGAGATTGGCTTTTTGGCACTTCGCCGAATGGGTACATGGACGGTGACCTTTTTTATAAATGGTTTGAGACTGTATTTCTCCCCAACTGTTCCAAGCGTCCATCTCTCCTCATTCTTGACAACCACGAGAGCCACATCACTCTAAAGCTCATCCAACGGGCCAAGGCAGAAGAAGTTGAGTTATATGGACTGCCTCCCCATACCACCCATGTAACACAGCCCTTGGATGTGGCTTTGTTTAAGCCCATGAAAACTAAATTTTCAGACACTGCCGTCAACCTTGTGTATGCCAGGAAAGACTTGGTGATTGGAAAGGCAAAGTAAGGACACATTTTTGATGTCTACCTGAAAAAAAAATTCTAAAATCTGAATATAAGCTGATAAAAGTTTCTTTCCTGAATTAAAATTTACAACAACTGAAAATTTTCTCCTTTATTCCTGATTTAAATTATTGTTTTCTGTTACATGTTAAAATTATATAACCTCGTCTGATGGGTTTTATTATATACCTAATGTGTCCCATAATCTAATACCTCGTTGTAGGGCTGAAACGATTCACCGAAATATCGATATTGTTCGATATAGTAGTGCTCGGTTCAATTTTCAATTCACCATCTCGATTTTCGGTTCGATACGTTTTTTTATAATCGGGTTTGGTTATTACTCTTTGAAATAGATCGGGTTCGACCTTATTTTAACAGTTTGACACACACGAGGGAGAAAATTGGGACGGTAAAGTTTCAGAGGAGGCTGCCTCTGCTATTATTTATACGAATATAGTGTTCTTAATCAACAGAACCACAAGTAGTCAGAGATATGCAATTAACAAATTGGTAAATTCGGGCTAGTAAAAATTATAACGACACATGTAATACACGAAAAGCACAACTGGTATTTTTACTCATTTTTTGCTATAAAATTCCCAATCAGTGAATATTTTCCAAGCAGCATGCTCCTACTGCCAATACATCTCCATAATTTTCTCAATTTTGCAATACTACCTGACTAATTTACTTCCAAAAACGATCTTTTTTTTTCCCTAATTCGAATTTCCTCCGTTTATTGTAAATACATGCAGATATCTCATTAAATTATTTACGATCACTCAATCAACTGAAAGATCAGTGTGATTCACATGAAATATATTTCTAGTGTATTTAAGGATTTAATATGAAAACAAAATGAATTTATTTTCATTCTAAATGAGCTAGTGCAAAATAATCAGAAAAGGAAAGATCTTCAGATATTTTTTTAAAATTCATTTTAATTTTCTGTCATAATCATTAATTTCATATGATTTAATTTTAATAGTAAGAATAAAATTTTAATTTTCAAAAGATGACCTTAGTACCCTGACTTTTTCAATGATTAATTTTTTTTCAACATTTGTTTTATTTTAATTTTTGTCCCTATATTTGGGCTAATAACTATTTACTTGGGGCTAGTAACTTTATAGCCCGTGGGCTAGTACTTGAGTTTTTAAATTGCATACCCTGGTAGTATATTTCTATTGTATCACCACCTTTTACCCTTTGTTTTTTAAATCTGAATATGTTTTCTTTAACCTTATGAATAGTTTCGTACTTAAATTGTATCGTATTGAAAAAATTGAATTGTGACACAAGTATTGCAATACGTATCGTATCGTGGAGGGGGCGTATCGTTTCAGCCCTACCTCGTTGTAACAAAGAAATCATTTTTTAATTTAAATTATCACCTCATCATGGCTACTTTCCATTTATAAAAGACTTTAAAGAATTATCATTGGTAGCATACACTTATCTCATAATGTTCAATACCAGTGTTCCCTTTCCATCTTCATTAGATTTGCACCGGTGTTATCTTCTGCAATAGACCAGACATTTAGTCCTCATCATATCAAGGAGGCTTTCAGAAAGACTGGAATTTACCCGTTTAATCCCCAGGTCATAAGTCAGATGCAGCTGGCCCCTGCTGACAAACATCAGGTTTCACACCATGATGAAGTCCATGGTAATTGATTTGGTGATGTTCTAAAAAATTAAACAAATAGATATACTTTGGCATCACATGAAGTTTTTATGAAAAAGACAAATACCAAATTGAGAATATTTTTGCAGCGATATTCCAATGGTTGAAAATATTTAATTCCTCTATCCGTCTAATCTAAGGGAGAGAGCAAAAAAAAAGGCTTTGTCTGACGCCCAATCTAACTCACTTTATTTGTGAAAAAAAAATATATGAATTAAAAAGAAAATGACCGACAGCTTACTCATTTCTCTTTCCATTACATAAAGATGACCAAACCAGTTGTGCACCCCCTGCATTGTGCCATGCATGTGGCCATTTTGTCCAGCAGAACCCACTAGTTGAACAGGGCCTCATCCCCTATAACTTATCAGAATTGTTCTTGCCCATTTTCATCAAACCACCTGAAAAAAAGAGAAGAATTGTAACCAAATCAAGAGTTCTTACAGGTACATTTTGGTATACTTAATAATAAAAAAAATGTTTAAATAAAAACAACTTATGCTTACAAAAGTAACTATTTATATTGATGAAAGAGTTACACATATAATGAAGCTCTATCACATGTTTATCTGTTGATATCTGTACACGATCTGAAAGTACAATTTAATTTCTAATAAATTGAAATTTAATGGCGACAGGAGAGGAAATATTGAGCCAACTCGAACAGAAAGAAGAGGAGGCAGAGAGAAAAAAGAAAAAGCAAAAGGAGAGGAAAGAGCGGGCAGAGATGAGGAGAAAGGAAGTGGAGGAAAAGAAAAACAAAAAAAGAAAAGCAACAACTAAGAAAGCCACCAAGAGAAAACAAAAAGTTAGTTGATTTTTCTTAACAAGACTTCTCATTGAATAATGATTTCCCTAAAAATTCATAATCATTTGACGCAATTTCTCATCGACGTCATAAAGGAGCGATGAGCAATCAATGGATTAAACATGTGCTTGTTAATTTGAAAAATAAATAAAAAACTTCACAAATTAAAAATTATAATCAGGCAAATATATATAAGAAAGTCACAAATGTAATAACAAGTTATAAGATATAATTTTTAAAATCTATCAGGATATAAACACAGTTTCATAAGCAATAAATTTCACCATGAAGCTCTTTGATCTCGTTATACTAACTGTATTCATTTCCCATGATAGATGTTTTAAAATGATACCTTATTTCTTAAATAGAAATTACTGATCTTCGAATGTATGTATTGTAAACTGTATCTAAGCAGAAAATATTGGTATGGTGTATCCATTCTCACCTTTATTATATATTGATAAATATTGACCCAGCCTTCATATCATGCCTAACTAGTCTTGAATTCGATATCCGGTCTGATGGGTTTAATTTCAATACAATAGAAAATTTTTTTTTTAAATATGCAATCAACTGAACTTACTCATTTTTATTCACTTCTGGACCGTGAGGACACCAATTCACACGACGATATCCCCATTCCACCACCATTTGACTGTGAACAGGATATTCTGCCAGCATTGTCCAGGCCTAAGAGGCATTCAAAAAAACCAAAGGTCTTGAATTTTTTTTTTTAATTAATTCTTAGTGTTTTTCAATCATGATTAAGTATACATATGATGTTGTTCTGATTCCCAATTCCAAACTCTTAAAAAATAACGTTAGCCTTTTTTTTAATCCAATGATATTATACTTTTAAAACAGAGATACTTGGATGAAGACTGTGAATTGGCCGCCATAATTGACGACGTCGAGGAAAACGACCTGGTTATTTGTACCTTTTGTACCAGCCGGGAGGCTCCATCCACAAGCACCTGTGACAGGGAAATAGATGGCTGGTTTCTATGTGAACATTGCAATCGGTGGTTTCACAATGTCTGCCAAGGGTTCGACAACAACGAAGCGTTTTCTTCCACAGCAGCCATATGCCAGGAGTGTCGCGTCTTCCTGGAGGAGTAACACGTGCTCCCCAAATGACACAGGAAACGCGTTTTGCGCATATATCATTGAAAATAAGAAAAATTTAAGCTATTTCAGGCTTATTAAATTTTTTATTTGACAAAACCAAATTCTTTGTCTTTTTTTAAAACTTATTTTATCCCTTTGAGACGATAAATAGTAATTAATTAATTAAAAATGGGGAAAGATCTAGCGGCAATAATGGGTATTGCACTTCCTGTTTCCGAGGGTCATGACCTATGAGTTATTTTAAGACGATTTTGCTTAATTTTAAAGGTTTGTTTCAAATCTAAATATTGCGTCATCTAAGCAAATAAGTATTGCAGAGATTATTATAGATATATTATGAGCGAAAGGGCATCCTGTTTTAAATACATCTGGAAAAATGGTCGTTACTCGGCAATAATGGGTACTGGCACGTTAGACTGTGCATTGAAAGCTATCATTTCTATCACTTGCATTTTTAAAAATATTTGTTTGAATTAATAAACAACTTTGGAACGTAAAAAAAATTTAAGGGATCAATTCTTTGCTACAGATTCATTAATTTCACCTTGTTTTATTTCAATTTGTGAGTTTAAAAAAAAAAACACTGCAACCAAAAGTAAACGATTTTGGAACATGTTGAAGTGTTTATACACGCTCTTTTTATTGCAGACTTTTTAATACTTCAATTTTGAAAAATAAAATATCTATGAATCATTTCAGTCACCCCCCGAAATATTTCATTTCTCTATATACATGTACCGGTACAACATTATATTAGCAAAAATCGTAATTTTGTGGCCTTTAACCCCACTCCTGCCTCTACCCCTTTTTTCCACGTAAAACAACGTCGCGTGTTGAGAGAAAAATAAAGCATGGCGAGAAAATTATTTCATAATGTAAGAATTATTTTTTTTCAAAAACTAATACAGTATTTCAATCGTTTGTTGATGTTATGAAAACCCTTTGCGACTTATCAAATACGTAGTTTGATAGAATAAATCCAAATTTTGTGTTTTGACATGTCCCCTTTTCATTGCAATAAAGGCTACCTCCAATTTTATTTTTATTTTTTATAAGAAGAATGAAAAATGCATGGAATATGTAAAAAACAAGATGTTCATTTTGTATTTTTTTTAATTTTGTAAATTTCTTTGTTTATTGGAGAGTTTTAGTATGTAATTGTGTATTAAAACACGACAAATGGTCCATATATTAGCAGTGCCCCTATTTCACTACAATAAAGGCAAGGTAACAAAATTTCATTCTAATTTTTCTAAGCTTGAATCATACAAATATATTTCCAAGAATTAAAATTTTTTATCATTCCGTTTTCGTAATTTTCAACTAGATTGGGCCTCGTTACACAAAATACTTTTTCTATAGTGTCGTCACATTTCATACTTTAATCGCTTTTTTCATGTGTATGATATAATAAAATTCAATGCATAATTCTTATTTAACTTTCAGTACTTTTAACCATAATTTACGTAATAATTAATTTACCAATCACATTAAAGATGCATTGGAAAATATCAACCTTTAACATAAGGGAGCAATCATTCCATATTTCTTGCTTTATCGCAAACGTTTACTATTGGGCTCTAAACATGTTTAAAAATGTTTAAATGCCATTTTCAAACTTTAAGACATGCTGCCATTGTAACTATAGCTCATAGCAACCGGTTTTAACCGATTTTAGTTCAGGTTAGGGTATCAAAGACTTTTGTCATAGAGAGTTTAGAGAAATTCTAAGACAATGCGCGCCACAGCTCCTATATGAAATTTCAAGTCATTACAGAGAATGAATCTTAATTTCGACACTGGATTTCTTGCAATAAAACGTTTAAAAATTTCAATGAAGATAATGCTAAAAAGGACAGTGTAAAAATTGTCTTCGACAATATTATAAAAGAACATTTTACATGCATTTTTTACTATTTTCATTAGCGTGTATACCAGTTTCAAAATTTACCGTAGATTAACCCAAAAGGCTAATTTGGTAATTAATGGAAAAATCCTCTTTTCGAGATTTTGAAACACGCTGTGAAATTAAATAATTTACACATTCATAAGACTTTAAAAAAATACATTGGATTGTTTAAATTAAGAATTTTTATGATTAACTAATAAAATATGTTTAACAAATCCCAGTCTCCCCTCTCCCTATAGATCCACCCCTTATCTCAGTCTTCACTCCCCCTATAGATCCGCCCCTTTGTCTTACCTTGTCCCAGGCTTCCCTCTCCCTATAGATCCACCCCTTGTCTTACCTTGTCCAAGTCTTCCCTCTCCCTATAGATCCGCCCCTTGTCTTACCTTGTCCCAGTCTTCCCTCTCCCTATAGATCCGTCCCTTGTCTTACCTTGTCCCAGTCTTCCCTCTCTCTACCACTCCTTGTCTTACCTTGTCCCAGTCTTCCCCCTCCCTATAAATCCACCCCTTGTCTTACCTTGTCCCAGTCTTCCCTCTCCCTATAGATCCGTCCCTTGTCTTACCTTGTCCCAGTCTTCCAACTCCCTATAAATCCACCCCTTGTCTTACCTTGTCCAAGTCTTCCCTCTGCAGTAACTGCCCTCTGTCTTACCTTGTCCCAGTCTTCCCTCTCCCTATAGATCCGTCCCTTGTCTTACCTTGTCCCAGCTTCTCTTGTCTGAGACTCACTTCGTCTTACCTTGTCCAGCTTCCTCCCTACAGACTCCACCCCTTGTCTTACCTTGTCCCAGTTTTCCTCTCCCTATAGATCCACCCCTTGTATTTTTTTGTCCCGAGTCTCCACTCTCTGTATAGATCAACCCCTTGTCTTACCTTGTCCCAGTCTTCCTTCTCCCTATAGATCCACCCCTTGTCTTACCTTGTCCCAGTCTTCTCTTCTCCCAATAGATCCACCCCTTGCCTTACCTTGTCCCAGTCTTCCCTCTCCCTATAGATCCACCCATTGTCCCAGTCTTCCCCCTTTCCATAGATCCACCCTTGTATTACCTTGTCCCCTTCTTCTCTCTAGCTGTAGATACACCCTTTGTCTTCTATGTATCTGTCTGGGGAAAGTAGTCTTATTTTCATAACTGATTTCAGAAATTGGCTCCCTTGTAATAACTAACAGATTTACAACGCGTGGTTCTTTAACATTCTTCTACACAGTCTATATTCGGTATACGAGTTAATCAACTTTCTGTCCAATCTGTAACCGAATACTAATTTTGAATAACTGTCTTGTAAATTTCCTGATGTAAGTGAGAATGTATTCAAAAGAGAAACAAATCTGTAAGATTTTCATGTTTTCATGCTATTTCGATATTGGACTACAAATCAACTCAATCTTTTATAGCTTCTGTCACAAACTCAACAAAAGATAATTATATAAATATTTAATTAATCATTGAGATAATAGTTGCAGTAGTCAATATCTCTCAATAGACACGGCATCTAACTCTCTTGTGAAAATTTCAATCAATATTGTTTATTTAAACAACTCTATTGTACTTTTTCTAGGAAATATCTTGCCGAAGCAGCATCCTTCAAGATTGGTCTACATGTAAAAGAAAAATAACCAATCAAACTAACGCTGAGGGAGCATTTTGTTTTTTTTTTTTTTTTTTTTTTTTTTTTTTTTTGAATAGTGAAATGACTTTATGGAGGGTAGGTTGGGGGATCAGTTGTAGGGGTGTTGAATAATAAAATAAAAAATAGTCTCTGAGCAGTTTAGAGACTCTACCATCAATTTTTTGGACAATGGCTTTTTTATTGTATTTATTTAATATGTTTTACGATGTGACCTTAGGGATAGCGCAGTTATGCGCTATCAAAATTCTATACTGAGATTTTGTAGTGCTTCAGTTAGATAATAAAATCATGAAAAAAAATACAAAAACAGAAAGACGTCACTTCCCATTCATTGGGATCAAGATGTTGAACTGCTCAGACAATAATAGGACATATCCGAGCCGCTAAACTGACGTAATTATGACGTCAAATAAAAGTCCTGAAGAAGTATGATGTATACGATACTTTTTGCGGCGTGGCGATAGTATTAAATCGTTGTTTGGATTTTTTTTAAGTAATAAAATGCGTTCAAAGAGTGTAAAAATATAACATAACATCTATTTATCCATAAAATATCGTCGTTTACTATAAGCTGTCAAAATATACGTCTTTCACATCTATGAATCTATGTATGCATGGTGCGAGTGTTGATCACAAGCCCCTATAATATGATATATAATTTAGAATAAATTGTTATTGACTGTTTTTTCCCTGAAATAAAACTTTATATTCTATAAGTAAGTAGGAATGCAAATCTCAAATTAAAAATTCAAAAATACTTTGAATATAGAGAAAAAGAGATCCTAGGTGATACGTGCGGAAGTTGGTCAAAAAAATATCACAAACTGCTTCCTTGGCAAAAAAATCTTTAATAATCGAAAGCCTATGGAGAAAAGGCCAGACGACATTCATTCGATCTAGTTCACCATCGTTCAAGTTTCAATAACTAAATTATGATTTTACCTTTCTATTATTGCACAAATGTACAACATACTTTTAAATAGAACAATAAGTTGAATTCGGAGTAGCTTCGAATGAAAGCGACATTTTGTTGTAAAACGAAATAAATCTAAATCTGATTCATTTTATGGAAGAAGTTTATGAAAATCATTAAATTGTTCGTGAAATTGAGATGATGAAAGGTAATTTTTTGATTTGTCGAATCGATGATCATACAGTTAATCAAAATAAAGTTCCACAAATTGACTTTTGAAGTATTTCTTTGTAACATAAAAAAACAAAACAAACATTGTACCTTTCGTTCAAAATAACAACAAAACTTAAGCAATGTGTGGTTCAAAAACTTCAAATAAAGTCATTCGTCCGTGCCCCGATTTTTCAGAACACTGGATGGGTTCCAATTAACTTTTACGTAATGCTAATGATAATTATATCACAGGACGCATGCGACGGCTAACATAAGTATCTATTCCATATTTGCTTGAAAAAAAAACCAAGGACATTATTTTAATCACTAAGGAAGCACACATGATACATACCTG